TTTAATTAATTATTGACACATTTAATTAATTATTTAATGGTGTATTTAATTAATTCATTATGGCAGTCCTGGCGTTCCATACTTAAGAGCCTCCCAGCAAATTACACACAGGTGCCACAAACGAGGGGTGTGGTGACTCTGGCCAGTGATGGATTTACTGGCACGCAGGAAAACCCAGCACTCACTCGGACCATGACAATTTTAACCTGCAGTTCATAAATAAAAGAATAAACAGAAGTAACAGAAAGACATCAGCTTTAAATGTTTCCTCACATGTGGAGCTCTGTAAGCTGTAAATTTTTAATTTTGCACTCTTGTTTAAGTTTGTCAACAATGATCTTTTTTAAGCTTTCAATTTCAAAGAAATACTCTAATTTAATTTCATTAATAATTTAATTGTCATTTCACATCATGCAATTTGAACTTTACCCTATGAGGATGTAAAGTTAAAAGCAGTTTCAGCAGATGTGTCTGCAGGTTTATGAATTTATAGATCATATCCTGAAGTCGTTGCCATGTGAGAGTCAGTGTATACCTAATTTTTCGTCTGCAGCCCCCTCACAGAAGTTTAAAAAGTTGGAATTCTGTGAATATGTTCATTAAGCTTTCCAGTTATAATGAAATAACCTTTGCAGCGCTGAGGAGCTGAAGCTTCTGACACACACTGAAACATTTCTGTTAGCAGCAGTCTGTTCCTCACTGTGATCCCGACCTCTGCCAAGTCACAAAGGAAATAAATGATGAAGTGAAGTGAAGTCATAGTTTGGACTAACGTGCTGAGCGTTTGATGAGCAACACAAACATGTGAAATTTAATCTACAACTCTTAAAAACAATAAGATGTGTTCAGCTCAGACCTGCCTAACAGGATGTAACACGCTCACACAGGAAGCTGCTTGCTAGCTAACAAACAGACGGACATGCTACTAACAGCAGGCCTGGAGTCAGTGCCTGCTGTCAACGTGGGCGATGCGGTCAGATTAGGTGCTGCTGCAGAAACAGGAGAAACGTGCAATAAGCAAAAAACTGATGGAGCACAAAGTGTAGCTGGTACGTGACAGGTGTGCCACAGCTGTATCGTTTTGGCTCATCTTCAAGGAGCAGTCACATTGTGAGTGTTGGAAAGTATTTTTGATTCAGATGCTCAAGACATTCATCTGGATTCATTTCCAGATGTTCAGCGTTATGCACAGAACTCGAAGGACGGTGAAAAAATCCTCTTGACATGCATCGCCAGAGGCCAGGGAGCCATCGACGTGGAGATCAAGCGTAACGGGGAGACTGTAACTGAAGAGAAGGGTCTGATGAGATCAGACACTGAGACAAACAAAGACGGCACCTTGGAGATAAGAGCCCATGTGGAGATTTCAAAGGATGACAAGTCTAAGTACAGCTATGAAGTCATTTATAAGAACCAGAACATTAAGCATGACTTCGGTAAGAAATTTTACACTGTTTTTGTCATTTGTCAAAGTTTTCTGTGTTTTCAGACCTGTTGTTGCTTAGGGCTGTGTCAGTTAATGTATTGAGGGCTTGAGTTTCACTGTGAAATTTTGGTGTTTTGCATAATTTATCTATTATTTATAAAGCTGGAAATTCATCTAATATTGTTCTACTCAGACTGTGCATTGACCTGGAGAGGACCATCAGAAGTCCAGCGGAGGTGGACAGAGATCCATAATCTGGAGGACTACACCACCGACCCAGGTCTGTAACGCTCCTGTTATAGCAACACTGAAGTATCAACAAAACTGGAGCAGGTCGGATATGCAGAGAATGAAACTAAGTCAACAGGAAGTGAAAATGAAACAAGCAATCTCATTTTGGAAGCATTAAAGCTTAATGTTGTCGAAACATTGAGATATTTACATTTACAGTTGTGTCCAAAATGATCCGGATGAATGTCTTACTAACGTTACTTCATCTTTTTGATTTAAAACACTCCCCTGTATGTAGCTGGTGCCAGTGTGTTAAAGGTTAAACGTGTTTCACACGCAGATGTAATACAAATGAATAAACAGTCTGTTTCGGTGACAAATGTTACACGCTGTATTGCAGCGCACATCGAAGGACAAACACAGAGCACCTGACATTTTATACAGCGTCAGTCTAAACAGTTATTTTTTGTAAAGCTTCATTATTTAGACCCAGACTTTATTAAAGCCACACTGGGGAAATTCACGTTACTGCAGCACAGGGGTCAGCAAGAACAGGGAATAAGAGATATGTTAGAAAATTAAGAAAAAATAGTGCACAACATATATTTTACCAATATTTTTGTTTTATTGGAGACATTTTCAGTTTTGCTGAACATAAGAAATATGAAACAAAACTGTTGCTTGTTCCTGCAGTTGTTTCTGACACCTGAGTCGCTGACAGCTGTATCCCGGACCGAGACGCTGAGTCCTGTGGAGCCCTGAAGTCTCCATCAGATCTACACACAACACCAGATTTACCAAAACATATTTACCAGTGTGCAGAGCATTAAGACTAAGGGTTTTTTTAAGTAGCACATTTTCCTTTTAATGCATTGTACAGATTAGGAAACTGATGAGTCAGCATTAAAATGAGGTTCTTTGAAATGAGTTTTTAAAAACGTGCCTGTTTAAGCTGAACCTCAGTCACAGTGAACGTCACATGAGGTCAGAGGTGAATTCAGGATTTTATGTATTTTAATAAAACTATCTCAGTTTGTTCATAAGTCTTGTTTCATTATTATTGTGTTTCCTGGTGTAATTTCAAGTGAGCCCTGCAGACTGGCCACATGAGCAGCGTATCCAGAAAAGGATGGATGGAGAATTTCATGCAGTCCTTGTTGGAGCGATTTGTTCTTTATTTTTAAATAAGTTTGTTGTTGGTTTACTTATATTTTTTGTTATTTACAAGTTTTATTTGTAGGTTAATACTTGTTTATTTTTTTTGCTTTGATTTGTTGCTTATCTTAAGTCAGTCAGGAAGAACTGTGGGGCCATTTTTTCTAAAAAATAAAGGGACTGGTATAGGACCAGCGTGCACTGGGGAGGGCCAATGTTTTTTTTTTTGGTTTTTTTTTATTTTTACCAAAACAGCAGCAGTAAGCAACAGAAATGGATCTTTGTTATTGTTTGCCAAACTGGATAAATAAACCATAAAACGCAACTTTCAGGTTTTGGACATTTGACTTCTTTTGCCTGCATACAAAATACCACCACAGTGCAGCAGTGGCTTGTAGATTTTAAATTGTTGGATGTTTGGTTGGACAAACAAAGGAATCACCACTACAGTCCCATTGGAGGGAGGTTTTCAAGAAAGCAAAGAGAAAAAGATTTTAGTGTCTGAACTGAGTGTTTAAGTAGGAAAAGTGACATGAGTCCATCTTTTGAATTAAAGGATCATTTATATGGCTGAAAGTGGCATCACTTTAGCTGCACAGTTCTGTACATGTGGCATTAAATACAGTCAGTCAGGTGATGTTTAATCAATTAAAGATGTTTAATCAATATTTGATCCATTTAAAATTAAATAGCTTTGAAAAAAACTAAGCAAAATTATTTCATTGTTGTATGTCTTAAATGTCACAGTTTGAAGCATTAACCTTTTATTTGAATTGAAAACATCAGGTTCCAAGTAGATTTCTTAATTTAACAATTATTACTTATTGTTTGAGAACAGAGGGGGAGAGAAACTGGATCTAAAAGCATTAATTATCTTCACTGATAAAGCAAACAGCCGCAGATCGATCCTTCTGAGAGTCAGCACACAGGTAAACAGCTGCTTTGAAAACATCTCTACTCTTATTATTATTATCATTATAATTATTATTATTATCAGTTTACGCACCACGCGCATTACGGCATGACGTCAGCAGGCGGCGGCAGAACCCTCGCGTTTGAACCACAGCGGTGCAGCTGTGCGGTCTGTCGGCTTATCGAGCTCGTGTTTGGGTGTGTTGCAGCTTCAGCTGAGCCTCCACAGTCGGAGACGCTCTTCGGGAACAAACACACTCGGAGGTCTGAGGTTCTTCGGAGTTTCTTCTTTATTTTTGTCGTTAAGGCTAACGCCGTTAGCTTATGCCTGCGTCGTTACCATGGTGACGCTCCGAGGCAGAGGGGACGCGGACCGGAGAAACGGGCCGAGCACGAGCACCGGGACCCCGGCACGATCTGAGATAAAGACCCGGAGGAGGAAGAACGCTCCCCGGACTCAAGAGTCCGGACGGTCCGATGTGAGTGTGTCCGTGTTCGGTGTGTAAGGTTCAACTCACGGCGACGTTTAAATGACCGTCAGTTTAACCGGAGGGAGGAAAACGTTAAACTGACCGGGAGAGGACCGGGGGCAGCTTTTTAAACTTACTTAGGTAGAAATCAGTAAACAGGTGGAGTTTCCTCCTGGTCTCACTCACTGCTTTAACGAGCTTTAGTAAAAGTCTGTGGCGTTTAAAGATGGCCGCCGAGTGAGAGCGAAGTCTCTGAGAAAGAAATACGTTTAAAAAACAAATTAAATGTATAAATTACATTTACAAAACAAGTAAACACATTTTTATCATTATTGTTATGAAAATAACAAAAAACAACCTTTGAGATATTATCATTAGTGTTGGGGTTTAAATCGGAAACTAAACGTTTTTTAATTACGCTGCAGATATTTTACTAGCTTATTCTGAGCTCAGCCGCACAGAGAAGCGGCTTCCAGCTGCCTCCTCACACAGTCACGTGAGCGCTCTCCTTCTGCCTGCATGATGTCAGGGTCATCTGTCATTCACAAAGTACCGGACATTCAGCTGGCTCTGAGCGGGTCTCTCTCTTATTTTGTTTTATTTTTCTTAACTTTACATCAGCCTCGTGTAAACCACTGTAAGGTCACATGGTGCAGCAGGTTTCCTGGTCATATGACAGGTGTAAAATACCCCTCTGGTCTTTAGCTGCAGTCGTGTGAAGCTCACTGAGTGTAAAACTATCTTTGATGCGGATATCACGTGTAGTGCTGCATGCTCTTCAAAACGAGTTTGAGTACCCCACCTCTCAAATCTTTCTCAGGTATGTAAATCAGAGGATGAGGAGCAGAACCTCACCGATTCTGAAACACCCGAGGACGAAGATGAGAAAGCAGCGGGCACCATCATCAGGTCAGACAAAAGTCACCAGTTAAAGCTATTTTACTGCGCATGCTCAGAGCTAAAATGATTAGCTGGGCGATTACATTTCATCATGGCACCTGTGTCAGCGTGCAGGAGGAACTGCGCTCAGAAACAATCCAACTGCAGGACACAGATGTGAACGGTGCTTTTAAACCGGTGTTGTGCCAAAAAGTGATTAAATGCCAAAAACTGTTTCTGTGCAGTTTTTATGTGTAATATCTTTACGTATGTTGGTAAACAGACTTCAGCGAACAGCGTTTATAAAGGGGTTATATAGAGAATTTAAAAAATATCCGTTTTTCAAGTATCTTCACAACTCTGTGTTATTGTGCTGACATTATAACCAACCAGGCCTTACTTACAATCTTTTTACAGAGCTATCGTAATATTTGTAACAGTTCTGCTGCTGTTGGCCAGCTTACTCTGACAAAAGACATGTTTGATGTTAATGAGATGTTTTTAACTGCATAAATAAAGGTTATATAAAAGTCGCTGCCAAAAACTGATCGCGGCTTCTACCTTGTTACACGAATGTTGTTTGTGGCTCAAGATGACTTTATGTCATCCATAAGGGAAGCATTTTAACATGTTTCACATATTATAGCCCAACAACTTACTTATAGCAGTTTAAATACGAGCAATCACTTTTTGGCACAACACCGGCTCTAACTGTGGTTCAGGAGTCCGTGTGTGACGTGAATCTTTCATTTTACTGTCACTGACGTTTGTTTTGTGTTGGCAGGAAATCTCAGCGGCTCCAGAAGCGTTCAGGTGAGAATCAGAATCAGAATCAGAATACTTTATTGATCCCTGGGGGAAATTATTTTTTGTTACAGTGCTCCATTTTAAACCAACATTAAGACAAGACAGACAATACACTAACTAAGAATAGTACAATATATACATATATACACATACATACTTCACTCATAAATAAATAGTTGGAAAAGAAACATGTGTAGCTGTAGCAGCAAACAGTGTGTTAAGTGGATGCGTTGTACAGGGAGCCACAGGCAGGAATGATTTCCTGTGTCGTTCAGCGGTGCATCATGGGTAATCTCAGTCTCTCACTGAACGAGCTCCTGTGACTGACCAGCATGTCATGGAGTGGGTGGGAGGTGTTATCCAACATAGTCTTTATCTTGGACAGCATCCGCCTCTCCGACACCACCTCCGAAAACCAACGCTAGCAGGAAGACGTGAAAGGTCTCAGAGTTCACACTGTGCACTTTATTAAACTTTACACACAAAGACAGGAAAACATCTCAGACAGGAACAGCGCAAGACCACAAAGTGGTCCATTATTTTTCCAGCTGCAGAACAAAACATTTCTCTGATATTTATTTATGTAAGAGCATCATTCAAAGTCCTGATATTTTATATGTTTATGAGGGGAAACAGTCTGAATATGTATTTAAAATATGCTGAGCTTCAGTGGTGGATTTACTCATCAGTGCTGTGTACCTGCACGTCTCTAATATTATGACTTCATATTGAAGATGCATTGGACACAACATTAGAAACACCTGTTAATGTAAAACAGTCCAGCATCAGCTGGAAACACGAGCTCAGGAATTAAAGGTTGTAGTTTCTCCTGTGTGTGTGTGTGTGTGTGTGTGTGTG